CAGACTCAAAGTAAGAGAATGGGAAACAAACTTTCAGGCGAACGGAATACAAAAGAAAGGAGGAGTAGTGATCTTAATTTCAGACAAAATTGCCTTCAAGCTATTAAAAATCAAAAAAGATACAGAAGGCCACTACATAATGATAAAAGGCTCAATCCATCAACAAGAAATATCTATCCTAAACATATATGCACCCAACATAGGTGCACCAACTTTCATAAAGCAACTTCTTGGAAAACTAAAGAAAGATATTGTCTCTAACACTATCATAACTGGGGACTTTAATACCCCACTCACAACCCTAGACAGATCATCAGGACAAAAAATCAGCAAGGAGATCCGGAACCTCAATGTGACTTTGGACCAAATGGACTTAAGTGATACCTACAGAACACTCCATCCAAAAACCACAGAATACACATTCTACTCATCACCACATGGAACATATTCTAAGATTGACCACATACTCAGCCATAAATCAAGCATAAGCAAATATAAAAGGACCGAAATTCTACCAAACACCTTCTTGGACCACAGTGGAATAAAAATAAACATTGACACCAACAAAGTCCCCCCAAAACCCACAAAGACATGGACACGAAACAGCATGATGCTAAACAACTCCTGGGTCAATGACGAAATCGAAACAGGGATCCAAAAGATACCTGGAAACAAATGAAAATGAAGAAACATCTTACCAAAATCTCTGGGATGCCCTGAAAGCTGTAGTAAGAGGGGAATTTATATCCCTAGAAACACACATGAAGAAAATGGAAGGAACAGAAATTCACAACCTAACAAGCCACCTGAAGAAGCTGGAAAAGCAAGACCCCCAAAACCCTAATTTCAGCAGAAGAATCCAGATCACCAAAATAAAAGCCCAAATTCAGGACATAGAAGACAAAAAGATAATCCAAAAAAATCAATGAAACAAAAAGCTAGTTCTTTGAAAGGATAAACAAGATTGATGGTCCCCTAGCTAGACTGACCAAGAAAAAAATGAGAAAAAAACCAAATAAGCACAATCAGAAACACAAAAGATAAAGAGACATCTGACCCTGAAGAAATACAAAAGATCATTAGAGACTACTACATACACTTGTATGGAAACAAACTTGAAAACCTTAAGGAAATGGAGGACTTTCTGACATCACACAACCTACCTAAGTTGGAACAAGAAGAAATTGAGACCCTAAATAAACCAATAACAATCAAGGAAATCGACTACATAATAAGAAAATTTCCTACAAAAAAAAGCCCTGGTCCAGATGGCTTTGCAGCAGAATTCTATAAGATGTTCAAGGAGGAGCTGATACCAATCCTACTGAAAGTATTCCAGGCAATTGAAAAAGATGGATCTCTCCCCAAATCATTTTACAAAGCCAACATCACATTGATACCCAAGCCAGGTAAAGATCCAACAAACAAAGAGAACTACAGGTCAATATCTTTGATGAACATAGATGCTAAAATTCTCAACAAGATCCTAGCAAACCGGATTCAGTAATGCATCTCAAAAATCTTCCACCATGACCAAGTAGGCTTCATTCCTGGGATGCAAGGCTGGTTCAACATTCATAAAACCATAATTGTAATTAAATACATCAACAGATGTCAAAACAAAAACCACACGATCATATCATTAGATGCAGAAAAGCTTTTGATAAAATCCAGCACCCCTTCTTGATAAAAACCCTTGAACATCTAGGCATACGGGGAACATACCTCAAAATAGTAAAAGCCATCTACGAGAAACCCACAGCCAGCATACTCCTAAATGGACAAAAATTGGAACCAATTCCCCTGAAAACTGGAACTAGACAAGGATGCCCACTCTCTCCCCTCCTGTTCAACATAGTATTGGAAGTCCTAGTTAGAGCAATCAGAGAAGAGGAGGCAATCAGAGGTATTCAAATAGGAAAATAGGAAATCAAGTTATCTCTCTTTGCAGATGATATGATGGTGTACCTTGAAAACCCAAGAGAATCTGTCAAAGGCCTCCTTACATTGATAAAGGCCTTTGGCAAAGTCTCAGGATACAAACTAAATGTACAAAAGACAGTCGCATTTCTCTACACCAATAATAAATAAACAGAAACCCAAATAAAAAACACAATTCCATTCACAATAGCCACAAAAAAAAATGAAATACCTTGGCATCTTCCTACCAGAGACGTGAAAGACCTTTACAATGAAAATTACAAAACACTGCTCAAAGAAATCAAAGCGACAGAACAAGTGGAAAAATATCCCATGCTCATGGATCGGAAGAATCAACATTGTGAAGATGTCCATCTTACCTAAGGCAATCTACAAATTCAATGCAATACCCATTAAATTACCACAACATTCTTCTCAGACCTAGAAATAACAACACAGGAATTCATATGGAAACACAAACGTCCAAGAATAGCCAGAACAATCCTCAGCAAAAAAAAACAAAGCAGGTGGTATCACAATACCAGACTTCAAACTTTACTATAAAGCTACAATCATCAAAACAGCTTGGTATTGGTACAGGAACAAGCATATAGATCATTGGAACAGAATTGAGATTCCAGAAGCAAAACCTCAATTTCTCAACCAACTCATCTTCGACAAAGCCCCCACCACCTACCACTGGGGAGAGGAGAACCTATTCAGTAAATGGTGCTGGGAAAACTGGCTGACCACGTGCAGAAGATTGAAACAGGACCCCTATCTATCCCCATGCACAAAAGTTAACTCCAAATGGATCAGAGACCTAAATGTAAAACCTCAAACCATAAGAACCTTAGAAAAGGAAGGAAATACTCTCATGGAAATTGGAACTGGCATCCAATTCCTGTATAAAACCCGAAACCCACAGGTCATAAGAGAGAAGATAGACAAATGGGACCTTATTAAACTGACAAGCTTCTGCAAAGCCAAAGAAACCATCAAGAGAGCAGGGAGACAGCCTACAGACTGGGAAAAAGTATTTGCCAACTCTGGGTCTGACAAAGGCTTAACATCCTGGATCTACAAGGAACTGAAACGTACTGAAAAGAAGAAAACAAACAACCCCATTATAAAATGGGCAAAAGACATGAACAGACACTTCACAAAAGAAGACATCCGAGCAGCCAACAAACACATGAAGAAATGCTAAACCTCACTAATCATCAGGGAGATGCAAATCAAAACCACACTGAGATACTACCTAACTCCAGTCAGAATGGCAATTATCAACAACTCAAAAAATAACAGCTGCTGGAGAGGGTGTGGTGAAAAGGGAACACTTCTACACTGTTGGTGGGAGTGTAAACTAGTGCAACCTCTGTGGAAAGCAGCGTGGCGATTCCTAAAAGCTCTAAAAATTGACCTTCCATATGACCCTGCAATCTCCCTACTGGGAATATACCCTATTGAACACAAATCACTGTATAAAAAAGATACCTGCACACGTATGTTTATCGCAACGTTGTTCACAATAGCAAGAACCTGGAAACAACCATGCTGCCCATCAAAAGAGGACTGGATTAAAAATATGTGGTACATATACACGATGGAATACTATGCAGCCATAAAAAAGAACAAAATCATGTATTTCGCAGCAACCTGGATGGAACTAGAGTCTATAATACTGAGTGACCTCTCACAGAAACAAAGATCCGAGTACCACATGTTCTCTCTCATATAATGGACCTTGAACATCCAATGTAATTATATAAGAAAATGACTGACGGTACTGGGAAACTCTGGGGGGGGGAATGGGATTAACAGTAGCAAATATCTGTCTGGGGATGGGAAAACACCTCTTATCAACAGGGTGCCTGAATGAAACGTAATTGTACACCTAACCCTTAACTGTACCCCACAAAACCATAATAAAAAATATTGATTAATAAAAAAAAAAGAGAATAAAAGTGAAAAAAGGAAAATAACACACCTTAGCATTATTATGAAAGTAGGTTTTCTCTTCAGGACCATCTAAAAAATTCTTAGGCTTCCCTAGGAGTTCCATAGCTGCCATTAAGATTATAAAAATGGTAACCATTATTGTCATTGGGAAATTTATAAATTGGGAATGATCAATAAAATGTGGAAGAAAAGTTGAAAATATATAGAAAAAAATAGAACGAATGTTAATTCAAATCATATACTGTTTGATATATGAGTACATATTGAAAAGGAAGAAATCATGATAGTAGAGCAAAAGACACCCTGCCGATGAGTATAAGAGATATAGCTCAGTTTAAATTTTATTTTGACAATAACCACTAAAGCAAGGAATCTGAAAAACTTTCTAAAATGTTCTTTACATTCAGTGAACGGAATCACTTACCTTTAAAGTACCATTTTCAATAAACAATTGAATAAAAAGTTCATCTACTTGATTTAAGTCTTCCTTCACATAGAGCAGGAGTCCATAAGAGCCGAAGGCCTGAAATTCTAGGGAGATGTTGTTTTGTGAATTTAAAAGCACATTCTGAAACTCCTGATAAGAATCTCCATAATAACAAAATACAATTTAGTCAAAAGAAAATACAATTTAGGTTAGATTTAATATTCAACATGGGGTTTCGTATTACTATCATTGCATAATGTTTTCTGAAATGGCTTGTATGTGATTCTTTATGGCTCTTTTAATCCCAGGCACTTTTTTCCTTTGACACAGTCACAGTGGTTGTGTCATGATTTCTCTGTATTTGAGGACCTTTACAAAACATTCTCACAGAAAGGAAGAAATTTCTAGATGATTAATCTTCAACACTGCTTTTACTTAGATTTTATGTTACAGGTCAACAAAAATAGGGACATTTAAGAAGATGTCCTTATTTGCTGTTTATATAGGATGTTTGTGCGAAATTATTATTTATATTTTCTTGTTAATTTGATTGGGGTGGCTTGTGAGGTGATGATAGAGATCATCGGGAAGCATAGATATTGTTATATTTCTGTGTCAACACTCTATACTATATAAGTTTCTTTACAAATTTATCTCTCTCACTTTTAGAATATTTTAATTAGTTGTCACATTTTCAAATAAAATTTGGAGACATTTTGAGCAAAATACTCTGACAATTTAATTTTTTAAAATTTACAAATATGTTTTTAATGAGACCCTGTTAGCTTATTTTAAAAATAAATTGTCGATTACTTTGTATTATTAAGTCCCGTTTTGCTTTATAAGTACTTGACTAGCTGTTGGTTGATATTCCTGAAATGATGGGCTTGAATATCTTCTTTTTTTCACTTCTTTTCTTCTGTCACTCTTTCTGTGACCCACATACACCATAAAAACTGTTTTTTCTTTTAAAGCTTTCAAATTATTTATTTTTTATAATTAATAGAAGAAATTATTCATAAAAGCATGTAAGTTTTAGTTTGCTAGCTATCATAGGACAACACTTCTTTTTGAATCTGTACTTGAAAATTTCAGCAAGTCTTATATATTATGTGAATTGTCATTTGCAATTTGTAATGAAGCATTAGAAATATTCATTGTGCTAAATTTTCAAACTTGTAACAATTTCTGAAGAAATAACCAAAGTATTTTCTTATCTATAAGTAAGAAGTCTCAAAATGCTGACAGAAAACATTTGCACTGTGCAGAGATAAAATTCTGTGTGTATATTTTTCTGGTAAAGGGATTTATTTGTGAAGAATGGCTTGAGCATTTTATAAAAATGACAATATTCTTTCAATTTTGACATCCTATTTTTTAGTTCTTATATGGTATGAATAGATATTTCTGCTTGTAGCATTTTGATGGTGATATTAAAAGCACAGCACAATAAAATTTTACACAGCATTAAATTTTTAAAAAAAATTTAGACATTTATTTCAATGTATTGAGAATGGAGACAAATAATACATTTGATTTAAAGTTCAATTTGTGAAAGAGAATAAAATATTTTCAAAGACTAACATTAAACATGAATGTACCCAATAGTGGTGAAATATAAAAAAACCAATTGCATGCAAAGTCTTCAAAAAACTCATGCAAAATGTATATTATGAAAAACCATGAATACATTTCAAACAGTTTGTGCAGCAAAATAAATATGTGCTAACTTGTCATCCCATGACTGAACGAGATCTAAGATATTAGCTTTAAGGAGCCCCTGTCAAAGCAGTATGAATTCTGCTAAAATTTAAGGAAGAGCCAACATCAAATTAATGATGCTCAGTAACGAAATTCTTAATGCCTTATGAAAAGTTTATGCAGACGATGTCACAAATAAATCTGCAGTTTATGAATGGGTAACTTATTTTAAGAAGGAACAAAACAATGTTGAAGATGAAGTTTGCAGCAGCAAGCCATCTATGTCTGTGCTCTAATTGAAGAGGATTAATGATTAACAGCAGAAACACTAGCCAACATCACAGACATCTCAGCTTGTTCAGTTTACACAATTCTGACTGAAAAATTAAAGTTGAGCAAACTTTCTGCTGATGGGTGCCTAAATCATTGCACCCAGATCAGCCACAGACCAGAGCAGAGCTTTCAGCGGAAAATTTAAACAAGTGAAATGAAGATCCTGAAGCATTTCTGTGAAGAATTGTAACAGAACAATTTGCCAGTGTACAATTTTAGAGACAAAGCAAAATCAAAGCAATGGGTACCAAGAAAAGAAGGTGCTCCAGTCAAAGCAAAAGCACACCCATTTTTCTTCAGTTAATAATGTAAAAATACTGCTTTGACAGGGTTAAATTTCCAGGACCCTCATTTCTTTAGGGATGGACTAAATGGCTGGCTGATATCATTGCTTACAAAAGTGTATTGAACTTGATGTAGCTCTGTTGAAAAGTAAAGTTTATATTTTTTTACTTTTATCTTTTGAGCCGATTTTTCACATACTTTTTGAATTATTCTCATATTTTAAGGGTTTTAGAAAAAAATATATTGCTCAATTGACAACAGCCAACTTAACAACTGTTTATTAAGACAAGTATTTTTACAGACAAAATTTTAAAAATTTAATGGCTTGTTATCATGTGACTAATGAGATGTACAACCCCCCCTTCGCATGCATTCAATCGTAACCTACTTAAAAGCATGTTTGGTTTATCATTCTATCCCAAGTCCTAGCACAATAACTGATTTTGCTAAGCATGTGCAAGCACTTAGTATCGCTTGTTTAAAAATATAATTGTTTTTTGAAAAATGTGATTGAAAAATTATATTTTGTTGGATAGATTAAAAAGTCAGGAAAATATTTTGCGTAATATATTCAATCATATTTGTGGTGTTTTCTATTCAAACATATGAATACAAATTTTATTTTATATTAGAAAAGAATGATAGAATAAGCATATTTTAGATGTGAATAGTAGAGATTGTGAAGTATGTGTGTGTGTGTACATGTGAGTGTGTGTGTATATATATATATAAAATGATAAGATAAAACATACGGGTATTATACTTTGTTCTTTGATGAGTTATGAGCATTAAGTAGTCCGACATCACATCTTCCTTCTACTAAAGCAAATATTTACTTTAAAAAACAGTAAAGGAATCTTAATGTGAACCGTATTTTTTTGTTGTTGCTGTTTTATTTTTGGTTAGAAGATCATAAAATACAAATAAATTTTTAAAAACAGAGTCTTTTTTAATAGTATTCTATATACAAGATTAAATGTGAAAGTTGGATATTATGAGACAATAATTGAACAGCAGGATTTTCTATGAGATTGATATCTTGATGATTAATCTAAAATGTTTAGGTAGTTCAAATAAAAATATATGATTTAGTCCTATACCTGGAAGATAATTGTCAATATCAGCCTAATCTATAAAAAATTGTCCAAATAAATAGTAACTTTGTATTATGTATTATTAGATAAATGTTAAAACTATTTTGCAACTAAAATGCAAAACAGTCTTTTATGCTATGTTTTATAAAAGCAATATCTAGAAAACAATAGTAAAATTTTTAATATGTGTGTGAGGAGTGTGTTCATGCATGTGTGCAGCTTTTTCTATGAAATAGATTATGAATTTGAGAAAAATCTTTATGTATAACACAATTAATATATTTATGTAACAAGATTAATATAGAAAAATTTACTATGTTGTTTATTAAGAAACTTGTATCACATCTTGATTCTGGATTATATCAGTAAGCAGATCAGTAACCATGTATTATCTACAGGTTCTATCTATGACTTGGTACTCTTAATTTGTGTTATTTCTAGAAAGAGGAGCTCGAATTTTGTCATTACAAAACAGTCTTTTATGTTTAATACTTATACCGCCATGTTCTACAAATTGTGTTTAATTCACCTTAAAATCCAACTTTACAAAATTCATTTTAGCTCATCAAAATTAGTTTAATATCCACTAATAAAGCAGAAAAAGGTAGGAAAATTAGCATTTAACTGTTTACCATGTTCTGGATTTCATTTGATGCTTCACACCTATTTCTTGCAATGTTGAATTTTTGGTGTGGCAATTTAAAGATTTATTTTATGTAAAAATTTTTTTGTAGGAACTAAGCATATGTCAAGGTGAATTAAGAAATATTGGTTCCTTTCATAGATTTCCACAGATTGATTAGTACATAGACTACAAATAATTTATATAGAATATAATGTTTTAGGGCAAATATTAATTGCATAATAAAAAACTTTACAAAACAATCAACAATACTGAGGTTATAAGCTAGATTACACAGTTTAATATTTGCAGAAACTCCTCATTGTCACCCAAAAAATTATATAATAAATACAAGTCTATACAGGTAGATTTTTAAGAACATAGATTATTGTAAAAAAAAAAAAAAAAGCTGTGGGAGAACTAGTTAAGTAGTTGAATACATTTTTTTCTGAAAGCAAGCAACAATCTTTTTGGATGAAAGCGTATCTATAGCCATAATGTTTTTCTTTCACCAGTCAATGGTGCTATATTGGGAAAAAAATTCTTAATCACAACCTGCAAAAATGAGAAGTAACTTTTTAAAAATAAAAATTAGATGACGACACTCCTTTCTTAAAAGCAACTACTTCTCTACAACAGCATTGTTTAGTATTCAATCTTTTCAATCCTTTCTTTGCCTTTTAATGTAGAGGACCAAATTATTCCAGGATAACATGCAGAACAGTCTTTCTTTATTCATCTGTGTTATCAGTTCTGTCATGCAGCATCCTTTCATGGGCATGAATCTGTTTCTGAAATCTTTATCCTATTCCATTAGACAGATTGTCAACCCTGAGCCAATCAAACACTGATTACTTCGTCTTGGCATAGGATAGGTCAAGTCCTGTATCTTGTTCTCCTTTCAGGATTGCATTGTTTTAGTTTTGCCCTGTGCCCTTTTATGTAAATATTGCAATCAGTTACTTATACAAACATTTTATTAAATTTACAAAATCTCATTAGAAGTTGATTTGAGTTCCACTGATTTTACAGAAAACATGTGAATGTACTTGACCCTTGAACAACATGGGTTTGAACTGTATACGTTCACTTATATGAATATTTTATTTGTTTGTTTTTCAATAATTATGATCTACAC